GGTATGAGCATACTCCACCTCGCCTACCTTCCTATGAAACCAGTCAATTCTCGCAAATTATTTCCAGTTTTCAACGAATAATCTACACCAAGGTATATATGAGCACACTCAAAATCATGAACTACGCATCTCCCACTGACCGTTAAAAAATTTTCCTTACAAAGCATTGAAAATCTGTTGAAAGCAATCTTAATATCTTCCTAATCAAAGTTACCAACTCTCCACAATCTCTCAATTCTCCTAATTTCGTTTCTTGAACTATAATCATGTTGTCTACATTGTGAATTATTCTTTTAATAGTCCTCAATCAAATACACCATTGCATTTCTCTCTTATACTCCAGGAGAGAATTCTCATGAGTGCCTACGAGGTAGACATAACATCAAACTACAGCAACAATCAGCCAACAGGTAACAATTAAAAACTAATGATCAAAAGGTTACATCTGAGTATTTGACTCATTGGTTGATACACTGTCTCCCTGCTTAAAGAGTAAGATTCGAATCCCCCTTCCTCCAATTATAACAAAAAAAATGATCAAAAGGTCACATTCCCTTCCAATACCATTTTTGGCCAGCTTATCAGCAAGACTGTTACCAGATCTGAGAAAATGTTAAATTTTCCAAGGACCAACCTTAGATTTGAGATTCTCAATTTGTCTGATAATGTTGCAAAACTTCAATACCATCTTTGGCCAGCTTATCAGCAAGACTGTTACCAGATCTGAGAAAATGTTAAATTTTCCAAGGACCAACCTTAGATTTGAGATTCTCAATTTGTCTGATAATGTTGCAAAACTTCCAAGGAGATTCCTCAGGTTTCAAAATCCATTTAACAACGTTAGAGGAGTTGCTTTCAATAATAAGAAGAGAAGAATTCACCCAAGGAGAGGCCGCAAATAAAAAGAAAACTTTCTTAATAGCCAAGAGTTCAGCCAAGTTTGAATCACCCCAACCAGTAGCCTTAGAGAATTGCAATTTAATTCTGCCTTCATAATTTCTAGGGACTCCCCCAATACCAGATTCCCCGGGGCAGCCCTTTCTTGCTCCATCAACATTAAACTTTAACTCACCCGGTAAAGATTTAATCCAATCCAAATTTCTCTTATCAGATTTCATTTTAGAACAAACAGCCCCAAGTTCAGGATTTCTAATAAAATCAAAGATAGACATACAAGGATTCTCCCATCGAGCTTTCGACCAACAAGCAATTGAAGTTTTAACGACATCCATTAATTGGAGCTCATCCTAACTTGAGCTGAATTCAAATTAACAAAATAAGTTGATTTAATTGTAGCTTTTACAATCTACAAATACACATTCTTTTGGAATTATTCAACTTTTATTTAATTTACTTTTTATTTAAATTTATTCAAATTTTTTTATACAATGATTTATTTAACTTTAAATACCATAATCAAATTCTGCTAAATTTAAATTTAAATTATTAATTTGAAATTTGGATTTATAAAAAAATTTTAAACACAAAATAAAATGTTACAAATATTTACAATTATATTTAATTCTATCAGCCATAAATGTAGTATTTAATCTAGGAAAGTTCAACTTAAAAAATATAATTTGAAATATTAAACAAAATATAAACATAAAAAATAAATAAATAATTGAAAGGGTGAAGGCTCAAATTCTATTGGTGTAATAAAAGGCTTGTCATTCCTAAATTAAACAAGCTAGAATAAGGAATTATTTTTATAAACATCACTAACTCCATATTTTCCTTTTTCACTTTTTTTAAAAATTAAATCGACCTATTTTGCTAATTTGAGTTTAGTTCTAGTTAGAAATTAAGTCAAATAAATTTTAAATTTTTCTTCTATTATAAATGAAAGAAAAAAAATTATTTAATCTTTTTATATTATTTTATTTAAATATAATGCAAGTTATTCATCTAAATTAATTTGACTTTAGGTATGAAATTTTTTTTAAAATTTTTTATAGAAGGAGAATTCAAACTTAATATTTACAAAGAAGATAAATTAATGTACATATTCTAAAACCAAATAATTAAGTAAGAAAATATTTATATATTTTTTAATACCATAAATCTTTTACATTAAAATTTTTAGCTTATTAATAAGTACATTTATCATCTATTTAAATATTTATATTTTTTAAATATTTTTTAATTTAGTCCTTTAACATTTTAATTTTATTCAATTTAATCATTGTACTATTTATTTTTATTTAATTTAATCCTTACGGGGTGACATAAATTTTTTTTTTGAAAATTTTTTCGATCTGCCACAAGGTATCGACACGTTAACATGTCAGTATCACGTCAACATTGCCATGTCATCATATTAGTATCACGTGACACTGTCATGCCATCACATTGATGCCACATCATCAAAATGTGTCACGTCAGTACCATGTTCGAGCTGACATCATCCCCTTTTAATGATAAAATTGGATGCCATTAAAAGAGGGATTAAATTGAAGCAATTCCTAAAATCAAAAAACTAGATTGTTACAATTTTGAGTAGAGAGACTAAATTGAACAAAATGCCCTAATACAAGGACTTCTCAAGTATTTTGATAATTATTAATTAAGATTAAAATAGGATAATACATGATTAATTGTGTCATATTTTTAAACGAACATCGCAAGAGTGTCAATACCTTCTTCGTGTGTACTTGTGCTCCCAAACCCTAACTCTATTTTGTAGCTTGAAATGTATCATTTTTAGTGAACTTAAGTCAAGCTTAAAATTTCTTTAGAAATGATATATTTAATTATGTGACTAATCGCATTTAGACAAAAAAAAAATCTTTAACTGTTCACATCTAAAAAAAATTAGTGATAATTTCAATTTACGTTAAATGATTGGGTTTCCAAATCTGCAAGCATAATTACCAACGTTTTTTGAGATCTCAACCCTCCATTTCTCAAATCATTTTGAGAGCTATTTGGGGTGTTGTTCAATTCCATATTTGGCTAGTAACAATCTTTTACATATTTAGCTAGCTATCTTAGATACGGTTGCAAGTGATGCGCAATTTCACTGATAATTTTCTCAAGAAAAGCTAACAACGTACTATATATAGTACTGAGATTGTGTACTTGTGGAATTGACAATGGTTTCATTGTTTGTGACTTTATTTTGTAAATTAAATTTGTATGAATTTACTTTTGCTTGATAACTGTATTACGGAATTATCCGAATATTAAAAGAATTAGTTAGATCCCATATTAGTCTCATTTTTCGTTGTGTAACCAGTGGAGATTTCAACAACATTTGTAGATTTAATGATGAACGAAATGGTAAAAGATTGTCACTTGAGACATGGATACGTTTCAATGCTCATCGCCCATGCGTTATAGCGAAAAGCAAAGTGCAAACAAGGACTTTGGGAAACAGTGAAAAGGAAGAAGAAGAAAGAGAAAAGGGACGAGTGCCTTAAGATGGAGCCGTCTGTCATACAAAGTACTTAGTTCTCTTGATAATTCTACTTTGTCATGATCCTATATAAGGGTGGCTCAGACACCGTGAGCCGACTAGCTTCATCCCCATGCCCACTCTCTCGTTGATTATTTCACTAAACATGCACTTTGGCAGGATCTGTTGTCGACCACCAATTGTCTCTTCTTTTACCCTTAGTGATAACTTCATTTTGACCCTTCAGTGCCTTTCTCACAGTCCACTCAATCTCATCTTTTACTCAGACTCAGAGAGTGAAGAGTTCTTGAGCCTTGATGTTGTTTTTGGGTTTGGTTTTCTCGGATAAAACAAAATAAAAGGATACTCGAGTTTCTAGTCCGGGACAGGCCATCATTTCCTGACTTCTGACATTACTGGGGAACATGCTAAAGTTCAGATGTTGGGAAACACCACATCCCCTATCCGCAGAGTGAATGGATCGGACAAGGCAATGGCTACAGTACTACTTCAACCAAGTCGATTCATGCTTTCATCTGTATCAGAATTTCATCGAGGACAGGTGTCAAATGATACAATCATTTGTGGTAAAAATATCTTCAATTTTGACAATACCCTACACGTACTTTCTTGGCTGCATTTGCATATCCCTTCTTTTCCTTTTAATTTTATATGAAAAAATGAACACCAACATATAAGTGCATTCCCATTCCAATGTTAATTGGTAATTACTAACTCAGTTTGGATTGGATAAACCACTAGAGAAAACTGTTAGAATCGATAACTTAACCAGCTAAATAATATGGAAATGTGTGCTATAGTAATGGAACCTGGAGAGAGTCTGGTCAACATCGATCTTCAGTTTCCACCACATACTTCTGCTTGGTTTTCTTTTCTCTCTAGCCTCTCATATATATATATATATATATATGACTATATTAATATATTTGTAGTATTATTCTCCGCTCCGTACGCATTATCAAACAGTTTACAAGTAGAGATACTACAGTTGGGCGCATGCTTAGATATAGGAAGGGATTAATTTTTTTCCCACCTATTCATGAGTCTGATCATCAGTTCCTCCTCTTTGTCGTTTTTATACCTTGTTTCCCCCAGGGGGCCTGGGTAGAGTGTGATAGATTTCCTTCTCTCTTTTCCCAAGAAATGAATTAGAGAATTAATGAGTCCCTTGAAAAAAAAAAATGATGTCATTTTTTTTTCAACTATACAAGGAGAACATTCATTAATAAGAAACATCCCATCTGTCATAAGGAAACGAAACTTCATCTTCAACTATATTACAGTCAACCCAAGTAAACCAACCCTGTCATAATTATCATTGTTTTGACAGTATAAACAGGAAAAAGGTAAGTGGCAAAAGCTGATGAAGAAAAAACTTCATGGCGCATATCTGATAGATTAAATGAACAAAAAAAAGAACCCAAAATATAAGAAAAGCAAGACTATTCAGCTCATGGAGCAAGAACCATGCATTCATATATTTGCTAAACATGAATTGTAGTCTTAACATAAGTGCAATCTTCAATATTTTTACAGCCTTCATCATCAAGGCCTATCCTGAACCTTCCTTTCTGGTTGTTGAGAAGGATTATATATAGGGAAACAAAGAAAATTTCGGAATGTGGGGATAACAGTTTTCTCACATTTCTTTCTTTCTCCTTTCTCATAATGATAAAATAGAAAAATAGAAACAAAAAAAAAAGAAGCAAATGCAACCTAGATGATGAAAGCTGATACATAAAATTTAAAGTCGCAAGGCCGATTGGACCTAAAAATACCCGAGTCGAAGCTCCAAATCCAAAACCTCCTTTGAATCTTTGAACTCAGTCTCCGAGTCTACGCCGGTTACCCCACCAACCTCCAGCTCATATTTTTGTGCATGCCTCTTCAGTTTTTCAACCCCAAGAAAAGGTGACATCGTCTTCTCTTTTGACAAACCTCCAAGTTGAGGGATCAAAGGCTTTCTCAGGTTTTCCCTATATGGTGGTGGGGAAGACGAAGGAGTACTGAGTAATGGAGAAAGCAAAGAATGATGGGGATAGAGTGAGAAGTTAACAGAATGAGAGGATAAAGATACTGGTGAAGAATTAGGGTTAGGTATAGAGTTGGGTTCAGGGTTCTGACATTCGAAAGCCCAAGAAGGTAACAATCTCAACCTGGCTCTGTCCTTCCTATGCACATTCATATGACCTCCAAGAGCTTGAGCTGACCTGAATTCTCTCTTGCAAAAGCTACATGTATAATGTTTTGGAGGCCACGTTAACCCACAACAACATGAATGGTCACCTTCCAAGCAGGAGCTGTTACAGTCCCGCTTGCCATTCTTGTTACTTGTCAAATATGCCTTCTCCATGCTACACTGTTGCTTCCTTATAGATTCTAAAAGCATCAGAAACAAGAAAACCATAGTGTTGGTTTAACTAATTGCTTATCTGCATAAAAAGAAGAAAGTATATCCAAATTTAGAGAGAAAGAAAGAGAACTTACCGTTGCTGATCTCTGAGATATGGTGGTGAATATACAGTTAAGCAAGGTCAAACGAACTGAAGAAGCATTATATGTTTGCTTTACGGAGAGCCGCTACTGAAATTCTATGCCAGAAACAAAATATTCCATTTAATGTAGTCACCGGTAAATGTTGGTTCTCTTTCTGGATAGTACTTAACTGCTATATATATATATATATATATATATAATTACGAAGCATTCTTAATTTGTGCCAATGTCAAGTTGTTGGGGTATGATTACTACACATTTGAGAGATTCCTTTTTCTAAAAAAAAAAATTTATCATGTACAGCTTTATCTTTAAGTTAAGAATTAATAAAGTGTGTAGTAGCTAACTAATTCTTGTTTGCATTAAACATCAAATAAGAATAGAACCATAGGCATTATCCACCCTAATTAGTGCATGCTGTGCGCTAATCACTAGTTTACAAACACTGTCAACTCTTCATTGCAGAAAGCATGAGAATAACTTGCACCGCCCCCAGTTTTTACTGAGAATATCGTTCATGTCATAGAAGAAAATATTAAGTACATCAATGGCTATCCAAGCACAAATACACACAATGCAATGCAAAATTAATTTGAGGTTTCAGAACTTAACAGCAAAAAAATAAAAAAGGGGGAATCAAGAATCCACAGCATCCCATCGAAGGAGTAAGTTTATCAACATTTCAGTGATGCCACGCTAGCTATCAATTTTTCCTGTAAATGTATCCTGAAGCATCAAAAAGAGAGTTTACATATCTGTTGGACGATAAGGAAAGGATCAACATTGTTTGTTCTAGGGGTTACGGTAAGTTGGTTACGAGGTTAGAAGAGGTTCGTTGCATTGGACAGGGATTTGATGATGACATTATATTAGCGCACGTGTTAACATGCATGGCAAGTCAAAGCTTGATGGGATTGGCCTATTTCAGCCACCTTATAGTGCCCTTCTGGTGCTTCTTGGTTGCCAGTTTTTGCAGCCTCCTGTCGACTTCTGAATAATGCTCGACTTTGGTGAAGTATGATAAGCATCTCGTTTACGGTTCATTTCGTTTTTTCATTACCAAAATAATGTATAGACAATGCAGAGAACTAAAAATGCTATAATCTTCAACATACTCGTCTTGGAACTTCCGACCCCTTGTTAGAGACGTGAAATCACAGCTAATGTTAGTGAACAGGCAAAAGTAAAGCAGATCTCCTAGGAAATGACATTTTCAAAGAATTAGCTGATTGACCTAAAGAATCCTAAGAATCTTACTGCTATTTACAATCTTGTATGTGGTGTGTGTAACAATTCGTTTGAGTTTGCTGTCTACACTATAATGCTAGTAAAACTGTGTTTAATCTGTCATCTACATAACAGGCAACTAGCACAACAAGATCCATCAGAAGTAGTCATCAAACGCCCCCTCCTTATCACTGTCGTCAGAACCTGCACAACGCAACCTCCAAAACTAAGAAACGTGACACAGTTACTACCAGCACATCCTCCCATCATCAAACATAACTGTGATCTAACTTTGAAACATAACAAATTTTATTAGTAGAAAAATCTTGAAATATAAGGGAATGAATTGCTAACTCAGGCAAAATTTCTCCTAAAAGAGATCATTTCCGTAAGACAGCTGTTTTATTCGTCTTATCTAATATGTATTTAGTTGAAGCTGAGTCCAAGCACAAACTGCATTTGGCACCACAAAAGCAAGGCTAACCTGTTTCAGTGGCTGAAACATCCTTAACAGTCCGCTGGAGAGCATTGGGAGGGAGAGAAGAGATGTTAGCTGAAGTAAGAACTGGAGCTGGAAATGTGAAATCTGAGTCACTTGATGAAGCATCAGAGTTGTCAGAAGTATCAAAGGAATTGTCTCGAACAATGGGCTGAGATGTTGATGGAGAATGTAAAATTTTTTTCAGTTGTGAAAATTGGTCAGACATACAATACAATAGCCTGAGACATGGAAAGATCAGAACTAGCATTAGTAAACAAGGAAGCAGGAACTTCTTTGAGTTGTAACTTGCAGCCGGTACCAATGCAGATATAAAACAATCATAGAGAAGTTTGATATTATCAATGTAATTCAGCTCTACTTGGCAACTATTGTTGCTAATAATCTTTTCCCCTCATTATTTTTCACATGATATCCTTATTTTCCAGCAGAGTTCTTTCAACTAAAGCAAGGTACACCATGCCAACAACGTAGCAGAACAAACAGAGTATGTCATTTCATTACTGATCTTGACCCACGAAAACATTTTCTTTCATGAAAAGTTGAAAACTATTAAGTGTGCAATTGTCCACTTTTGGACAATTTAACAAGTAAAATTTATTAATAAGAAGCAAAATTTATCCTTGTCCAACCATAGAGTTTAATCACCTTCTATGACCTCACCAGGAGAAGACGTCTCTTTAACATCAGAGTACTGTAGTTTCCTTTTTATTTTATAATATATTTACTTATTTTTGGTATATAAAATCAAATTCATTCAACAAAAAAGAATCATCTATTGTACAAACAGCCCTCGGCATCTGTTTAAATCAACCTACTCATATCAATAGAAAAATCCAGAGGAAGTATCACAGCTGAAGTTCCTATAGCACAATGTCAGTAACATTCATGAAATCAATGTCACAAAGTCAATTACAATTTAATAGTCTTAAAGAGTGGTAAAGAATAACGTTATCTCTTTGCCAGAATCAACTTTACCGTATAATCATACATGAGATCAAGCTCTTGCAGAAATGAACAAATTTCAAATAATCAATAAGTTCAGTAGCAAGCATCATTAAAAGGGATTAGAATAAACACTATCTTTACTGTTTTTAAGCTTAAAGTCCTTGTTTTTCATCAATACAGCACAAAGCAAGACTTCTGCTAGGTTATCAACCTAAAAACATCAATATGGTATTTTTGAGCTTAAAAACCTGATGCTATAACAAAATTCATATATAAGGGGCAACTACCCAGGAACTATATAAGAAGTAATGATCCTATAGGATTTTATATCTCTATCTCAAGGATTTTCACCTTATAAACCAAGTTAGATATCTTTTATAGAAAAACTCTTTGACAACATAAGGATGATATTTTGCTACTGAAATACAGCACAAAGGAGAATAGATGGAACCACAAGTTTAAGTAACTTTCACAGCCAAAAGAATCACTTTGCTTCCTTCTAACTGCTGCAGTTTAGAAGTGGTAGTGCTCATCTTAGCCATAGTGAAAGTCCATTCTGGAGATCTAAAAGTGTACAGGGAACAATTCTTCTAAAATCTAAAAATCAGCATGTGACCAGAAGCTTCATTTGTTACAATAATCATCTTAACTGACACATTTTATGTACCAAAAGTACACAGGGTAAACTCTGTCCATACGGATGATAATTTATTCACTGACTACAGATCAAATATAACTCTGTTTAGCCAGCCAATAATTAGAACCCAGAACAACTTCTAAACACAAAGCATAGCAAGTTATCCGAGACTAACTTCAATAAATTGTAAGATAACATTTTAACAGGTGATGAAAAATACTACCTGTTTAAAGAGTCTTGAAGCTGATAAACTCTTCTTTCAGTTTCTTCTAATTTCTTGCGTCTTTTCTCACTTAATTCTTGGGCTTCAGCATGTTTCTTTTCAGATTCATCAGCTCTTTTCTTTTCTGCCAGCAAGAGGACCTGTAAGACATCAAAGCACAATTAGTGAAAACAACATTAAAAAGTCTGAACTTTGAAACTTGGAAAATATTTATCCCAATTAAGATATGGTGAGACATGTCAAGCTAAATAAGAAACCATACAGTGACAAAACCCTGTCCAGATTGCACATGATTTGTTAACCATGTAGAACTACTAATTTCAATAATCATTTGTGCCGCTGAAGCATTGTCTTCAGTACTAAGAATTGGATGGAACTAATTGATGAAAACATCAGGAAATGTCGATGAGCACCTTTCATCTATGTGCTTCAGAACAGGGACATGTGTGCCCACTAAGGCATCCATCAGTAGCATGAGTAGCAGCATTACCCTAGCTATGTTAACAGAATTTTAAAAGATGCAAGACTGGAAGTTATGTTAGATAGATATTCAGGTGCTCCCTATTTTATTTCCATTAATCCAGGTCCAGAAGAGAATGAGTTTAAGAAGTTACACAGAGGGTTAAGTACCATGGAGGTTGTATCAAGGAAGATAAAGAACCATCTCTTCCTTTTGATCATTTCCATTTCAAGCTGAATTAAAATAACTCAAAAGCCTAAGTGTCTGAGTTATTTAACATTTGTCTGATGTTTAGTTTAATTTCTGCACATTCAATATTCATTATATCCGCACAATCTTCAGGGTTCTATCACATCACAATTTTGAGAATATACCACTTTACAGGTCAGTGAAATTCAGTAGCCATATTTTGAGACGGCATGAACCTTATCTATGAAAATTTATTAGGCTCATGCCTTTTTCTTACTCAAAGAAGAATAAGAGTTATATTAGCATTACCTTTAGCTTTTCCACTTCTTTCGTAAGAATCTCCATCTTTGAAGCATTTTGGATGGGGCTTGATATTTCTTCAATGATAGGACAAGATTCATATGCTTTTTCTGTAACCTCATGCTCTCTAACAGGAAATGCGTTGGTTTTGTCTGCTTTGTTCGGCACAGCTAGAGCTAGGGGAGAATGGTGGAACTCGGCTTTCTCTTGTCCTTCGAACTATACACATACTAGAACTTCAGTTAGAGATCATACCAAATGAGAGAAATTAATCATGAAAAAAATAACAGCCATCCTCATCACCATCAGGACCACTGATAAGCATTTTCTTATGATCATCCAGGCAACTTCCAATACATTGAATAAAGCAATGGAGGAAAAACCATTTCAATTTTAACACTGCCCAATATTCAGAAAGTGCTGAGATTCATAGTTTGAAGTGCCTTACTTAAAAGTGTATTAAAGTTCA